TGTAAAATATAGTTTTAAAAACTTTGGGTAGCTTTTGGGTTAACCCGCATTGACAAATAGCTAACAGCTAGGCTTGGCAGTGGACTGGGGCAGCTCAACCCTTAAAAAGTATGGCCTGGGTCACAAAGTGGGATCAGTGCTGACCCAATTCGGCCAGGAATGATCCCATTTATGTATTATTTATACGGCTCAACCTCAACTGGGTTTGGGGCGGCTATATAGGGATAAAGACTGTGTCAGGGCCAAGGCTAGCCCAGCCCTGGCCCAGATCTAACCGGTTGCAACCCCTACCAACAACATACTTCTCCTAATAAAGAATTAAATGTAAACGTTCTAAAAAACAATACTGTATCATATCATTCCCTTATATTTTGCCAAGGTTTTAAACATGTATCGGCCGGATGGAAAAGCCCTCTATTATATCAATCTAAATCGGCCAAATCAGGTGCATCTCTAGCTAAAACTGAAAATTAGATGAAATAGAAAGAAATTTGTGTGTTCAACTTCCCCATCTATTATGTGTTATATATCATCATATAAACATGTTTCAGACGGGAAAGCAGTAAGTTTTATAGATCATAGAGCCAGTTCCCGACTTTGAGAGAGGCAATTACGGCAATGTGGTACCCAATACGATTCGAGTAGTAGGTTACCAATCAGAATCAGCAAATTTTAAAGCCATGTTTTTTACAATCCCATGTTTCGACCCTTAATTTCTACGCCCCTGTATTATCTGACTTTGAACCGTCAAAGTAGTGGGCTACATGATCTACAATTTTATAACTATAATTTTTTTTTTTTTTTATTCAAACTTGATAAAGGGGCTCGGTCATGGTGGTAGTAGTATAGTACCTCTATATCTAGTTACCATGTTGCGGTTCCTATCTTACTGACACCTTAAAAAAACTACTCCTAATTTATTTGAAAATCTTCTAAAGATTAAGGTATTATGGAAAAGGAAGTGATATCTTTATAAGAAAGTGAAAAAGGACATAATACCCCATTTGAGTGTTACCCCTTGGGGGTTATGGGAATGAATATTCAATATGAAGATGGGTCTTTAAGAGAGACATGACCTTTGAGAGAGGAACGATATTCTCATGAGTTTTGAGTTGGTTAACTTCCACTTCTCGAAAAAGAAAATCTCTATATTGTTTTCAATGTTATCGTTCCGGTAGCGGTATTACGGTGGAAAAGAGGATGTTGATCGACGGTATTGCTCGGTCTGAAGAGCGGGTTTAGAAAGGAAGATCAAGGATGGTCTTTTATCGATATTTAGAGATAAATATTATATCTTGTAACCCAAAACTATAACTTTTATTGTGATAGTGGATTTCTAGTTGTCGAGGCCGTGGATGTAGCCCTACGGGATGAACCACGTAAATCGTGTGCTGTTGTAGTATACTTTATTTCTCGTACTCGATTTATAGTTGTATTCATCTACTTCGTTTTTAGCCACTTGAGTACACGATCTCGGTATTTGGGATTGCCAGTTCTGCAAGATGAGGGGTTCACAAGAACCCTATAGAAAAACGGATACGGGCTGTCTTCCCTACTAAATTACCTAAAATTTTTTTTTCTATCGAACTAGCCGCAACCTCATTTTTAAATTATTCTAAGAGAGCAATTAGTTGATGACGTTCAAGTGTTGGAGTATAGTGATATCACCTGGCAAGACAAGATAGAGTATATTGAGTTAAAAAAACACATGACAATATTTCTCATTCTCATGCTTAAGGCATGAGTAAGACATGATCATGTTTCTCTCCTTACGGTCAGAATGGTGATAATAAGTATCATGGCCAAAAATTTTCACATGCCTCATGTTTCTCACTCTACCCTTTGAGAATATAATGATTTCCTTGAGAAAGACATGCTTTCTCTCTAGAATTGTGGTATTTGATAGTTGGGGCTGGTGTGGGGTAGATGATGAATGATGCTTATCCATTGAGACATAATGTTGTTTTGCTTTTCTTGCTGTCTCTTCCAATTCAATGCTTGAATAATAAGGGGCGTCAACGACCTGGGACAGCCTACGCCCCGGTCCTACACGGCCAACGGCCAACGCCGGTAGGTCGTGTAGGGTTAAAAATAAAATAAAAAAATTAATCTATAAAAAAAAAAAGAGAGTCAGGCTAGGTTGAACTAAGTCAGCAACCTGTCCCTCTTTTGTAGCCGAGGCACTACTTACAATAGGCCGGGCTGCCCGGCCCATTGCCAGCCCTAATGAGGGAGAAAGGAAAGGCTATATATACCCCTTCTAAGATCCAAAGCAAAGAATAAACTAAAGGGATTAAACCATATCTAGGGAAGAGAAAAGCAAGATTTGATAGAGTTTCCATGATGATTTAAGAAGAAAACTGCCCTTTCTTTCATCAATACAAAAAGTGAAAGTCAATAACAAATTTAAAGAAGGACAAAAAGAAAGGTGTGATCCGGATAATATCAATCAAAAGAGTGAGCTCTCTTTCCTTCTCTTGACCTGTATTGCCTGTGGGTGAAGAAAAGGAGACTTAACACGGTTTTATCTATGAGAATGAAAGAGAGAGTCTTTCATGAAAAGAGAAGTACAAGAAAAATAAATCTCCTCTGGCCTAGCCATACTAACGATGAGAGAGTATAGTATTCCCGCGGGGAACACACTGTCCATGTGCGTGTTCGGGCAAACGACATACTTGGAAGACTTTATGAAATTTGGAGATGCACTATAGAATGATTAGATGAGTATTCTCAAGAAAAAAGTCAGGATATTTAGTTTCTAAATAGGAAATTTATTGAAGGGTAAAGTTTAAATAAGGTGACCTTATACTATAGAAATAAGGTACACCTAAAATCCAAACAAAAATGTTGCTCCAATGCCAAATCACCCTATATTTATCGTCTCATCCTTGAGATGTATGGATATACAAAACAACGAAGATTTCAAGTCTTAAAAGTTTTGTATCTTGTAATATATTATTTGCACTGTCTATTTTAAAATTTTTAATTATTTATCGATAAGAACAATCGATATAATTTTTGGAGCTTTAAATTTCAAGAAATAGATTTTTAGGCCATTGTAAGATTTTCGTACTAGAATTGCATCTTTTAGCAAGGGAAAAATTTTATATAGAGCCGAGGCTCTAAACAATCAAATTAGAGTGCACATCAAAAATTTCATTAGAAGAGGTTGTTTTGATGTCCAAATATCTTCAAATTGATCATCTCGAAATCAAAATGCATGGACATGAGAAAAAATGGGATTTCAAGTGTAAAAATAGTGCATCTTGTAATGCATTTTTGGATCGTCAGTTTTTAAGATTTTCAAGTTTTCATTGCTTGATCTGAACTATTTTTTAAGCTTTACATTTTATAATTTGAAATAAAAATATATTTTAAGGCTATCACAAAGATTTCTAATATTGAAACCATATTTCTCAACACTATTTGAAGCTATGCTTTATTTTGATTGTTTAGAGCCTCAGCTCTATACAAAGCGCACCCTTCAGCAAGATCCTGGAGGTTTGCCTTCCTTTAATTGTTAAAGTTGATGCCATATACAAACCATACCCCTTATCAAAACACTAGTATTTAACAGCTCAACCATTTTCTAATTTAAGTTTAAAAAAGGCCATAAAAGTGCACAATCATGACTATGAAAAAAAACAAACATAATCATGCGTAGAATAATTAATATTTGGATGGATAGCTGACTCACCCTATTGATGTGCTGTCCCTTCCCAAATCCTTCTCTAAGATGGATTTTAGATCTATATTTAACATTTTTAAACTCGTAACCATGAATCTGAAAAATATAAATTTAATTTCCTAAAAACATATGACTAGGAAATTTCTTAAAAATATATGACTAGGAGCTATACTTTTTTATCATTTTTTCACCCTTAATTTAGTTCTCATGCAATTTTTTTTTTTTTTGACAAAGCTACTAAAGTTTTATTAATTAGTCAAAGGTTACATCCAATCAGAAAGGGAAAATATCCGAAATGAACAAATTCTGCAGAGACACCCCTCGTTTTGCCAATCCATCGGCAATGTCATTAGCCTCCCTATACACATGCTGAAATGCTATTTGGAGAACCTTTACACATATCCATAATATTTAGCCATTTCCTCCTCAAGCTCCACGGTGGTCTGGATATCTTATTGCACCAATTTATCACATTCGGAGAGTTCCCTTCAACTATATATGGCATTTTGATATTCTTTTAACTCACAATTTGAACTCCATACTCTAACGCAGCCAATTCTGCTTCATTAGCCGTTACCTCCCCACAAGAGACAGCAATAATCTATTTTTAAGTTCTAAATTCCCATTTGTTTTCCATGTTCATTATCTTGGTGGTTGAAAATAACGACTTACATAATTTCAGATCCAAAAATCCATCGCTAAAACAGATTTTGGAAGGACACCACCTTAAGCATGAATTAGTCAAAACTTTCAGGACCATATTTTAATGTGATTTGATGAATGGATCAGATGTTAAATGCTTTATGTTTCCAATGTGGTTTGATGAATTTCTTGCTTCTGAATAATTTGATCCACGTGTTCAATTTTTAAGTCTAAGCTCAAGTTTAAGGCATCATATTTTTTTTTAGAAATAGATGGAAGAACTAAGAAAAGATACAGTGATTTAGGGTTTGAGCGAGGATATCACCCTTAATAGAGGGAAATAACATAACATAATTCGTGCAGAAAAGATACAGTGACTTATAATTTGAACGAAAATACCACCATTAATAGAGCGGAGCAACATATCAGAATTCGCGTGGCCAATCCCAAATAAGATAAAGTTCGGATTGTTGATAGAGAAGATATAAAATGCATATAATTTTTTTGTTTTAATATTGGTTATTGGGTCATAAAAGTCAGTTCTCATCTCCAAAACTTAGGGTCCGAAAAGTACTCAAGACAGGAATTTACGCGTGGAGGACATAAAAGATATGTTCCCGCAGGAGCAGATAACCTTTGGGCAAAATAAAGACAGCCTTTCTCGTGGAAGTTGTCAAAGCACACAAAAGAAGCCTTCTCGAAACATACATGAAAAAGGAAGATATAACAGTGTTTACGTGATGAGGAAAAGATAAACCAAAAAGCAAACAAACCCTTTCCTCTTAAACCAAACACTATTATTTACCCAAAAGAGAAAAGCCCTCCATCTTTCCTTGCTCCAAGCCAAGAGATCATCAATCCTCTCTTTCTCTCTCTAGATCATATATCTCTCTCTCTCTCTCTAGATCATATCTCTCTCTCTCTCTCTCTCTCTTAGATCATATAACACACATTGATGAAACCTAGTCAAATACCTAAAACCCCACCTTAATTTGAAGGCACCCAAATCATATCATTTTCAAATATCCAATGGCACACCTCTATCTTTCCGGGTCCTGGGCCCAAAGCAATGAAAGCCCCATGATTTGGCCCCCACTCCTTTGTATTCAAATGACATATTGCCACCCCCTTATTTATCCTCTCTCTCTTCTTTCCTCCCTCTTTCTCTCTCTTCCCCAACCCCACTTTCTCTCTCTTCACCACGTTCCCTAGCTTCCTCTCACTACCCTCCCCCAACCCCACTTTCTCTCTCTTCACCACCTTCCCTAGCTTTCTCTCTCTACCCTCCCCCACTTTCTCTCTCTTCACTACCTTCCCTAGCTTTCTCTCACTACCCTCCCCCACTTTCTCTCTCTTCTCCAATATTTCGGCCTCGTAGACCCTTACGACCGGCACGGCGTGGCAGTAGTATACCAAATAAGGAAACAAACTTTGATGGCACGAAACGGCTTCCGTCACGTTGAGGTCTCTGACCTCCCCCAATTCCACCTCTCTCCCCCATCCATTGACGGATTCCGTCGCCTTCAATGACGCTTTCTTTCCCAAAATAGATACCGCAAAATCCATCATTCCCTCAATTGAGGTCACACACTTCCTCCTCTCCCCTTTGCTCGGCTCTCTCTCACACTCTTTTAGGGTTTTCCTCAACACCTTGCCCATCCCCGAGTCTTCGACCGTGCTGAATACTGCAGCGAGTCTCGGCAATGACTCGGTTGAGAAGGGTAATTTTTCCGCGATCGATCTCGGTAGAAATGACCGGCTTGGCATCGAGTCCCGGATATCGGGCATCGGCAGGATCGCGCCGCGCGTCAGCAACTTTTGGCGAAAGAATTTACCGGGCTCAACCGCCCATTTACTGGTTTGTGGGGAGCCGGCACTGCTTTCCGAGGGGGTGGAATTGGTATATTGGGAAAAGGTGATGGTAGCGCTCTTTTTGACGTAGTCTTTGAAGGTGGTGTTGTCTCCGGCGTAGCCTTTGAAATTAACGGTCTGGGCGTTGGCTCCTTCGCCGTAGCCTTTGAATAAATCGCTGCCTTCGTTGAACGATTTTCCATAGTTCGAAAAACTCGCCGATCCCGAGTTCGAGCCCTTTCCGTAGGATTGGAACGTATCGTCACCTACGTTGGCCGAGTCACGGTATTTTATAAATGACTCGATTGCGCCATTTCCGGAGTCGCCGTAGCTCCTGTAATTTAATGAAAAAAATCGCCGATTTTTCCAGATAATTGTTTATGGCATAAAACGACATTTGCATCGTGGTTTAGGTGGAACAGCAAAAACCATGGTGGCAGTAAAATTCATACGAGATTTCGGTGGAGTTAGTAAAATTTATAGAGCCAAAAGATTTCATGCTCCCATGGAAAGCATAATGTGCATTTACTCCCTTGTGCCAAAAGATATGTTACTTCTGTGAGACCATACTAACTGCTTGCTCCCTCAGATAAAACTCAGGTTATTAAAATCTTTTGGTCTCCAAATTTTGGGATGTAACCTCTAAAGTGTAGAGACAAACCTCAGAAAAGAATTTTTCCCAATGGCATGTATTTTCTATGCGCTTGAAAAGATAGGGTCCTAAATTGAGAAGGAACATTCAATTTTCAAAGGGTAAGATCTAAAGTGGTGAGGAACTCAAAATCCATTTTTTGTTTGCTTGTTTGTTTCAAATAACTTCTTACTTTGATCCAACGAATTCATTTAAAAAATGTTCTCCAAATGTCTCTTTCAACCAAGGGAGTTATATACAATGTGATCCAAACGTTTCCCAATCACACTCTCTATCTTTCTATTGGCTTTCAAAAAATAATATCTCAAGATCAAATAGAAACCAACTAAAATTTGAAGGGGGAGCACTAAGTACTAAAAAAACTCAAAAAAAAAAAAAAAAAAAAAACAAAAAAGAAAAAGCACTACGCCAAAAGACTTGTCGTTTACACAATAGTATACTGTCATCTAAAACCCAATCCATGAGCACTTTTAAGGACACCAAATTTTGGAGATGCAACCTTCTTGATAATTTTTTTATTTCAATTCGCACTTTTTGTGTGCTTGAAAATAATAAGGATAAAGTTCATATAAGGGTGAGGCTCTAAACAATCAAATTAAGGCGCAACTCAAAAGTTCACTAGAAGAGGTTGTTTCGATGCTGAAAAATCCTCAAATCGATCATCTCGACTTTAAGATGTATGAACATTAAAACGAATGGAATTCAAATCTTGAAAATAGTGCATCTTGTAATGCATTTTTTAAAATGTCAATTTTCAAGATTATTAAAGTATTCATAGATCTGCTCGATCTACATTATTTTTCAACCTTTGAGTTTTATAATTAGAGATAAAAATAAATTTTCAGATTATCACAAAAGTTTTCAATATTGAAATAACACTTTACAATGTCATTTCAGGTGCGCCTTACTTTGATTGTTTAGAACCACAGCTTTTTCTTCTTTTTTTTATCTTTTGAAAACATTAAGAAGTCAAGTCTTTTACCAAAGGGAGTAATGCATACGGTATTCAAGTGGGAGCAAAGTAAGCTCAATGTAAAGCACTCAACATCTGCGCTACAACACTATGGATCTTTGGTAAATAGGTCGCAATCACATTTAGTCATCAAATTAAGAACTTGACAAAATTTGAAAATTTTTCTTTGAAGATGGCCCCTTTACCATACAGATATAAGGAGTTACCAAGTTTTTAATGGAAATGATGATTTTTCAACACACAGTGTGCTAGCACTTTCTCAGCCGTCCCTTGCCAACTAAAGGCATCTGAGGCTCATGGACCCTTGGCCAATGCCCATCAAAACAGTGAGGTTTTGAACAGATGACCAGCACACGTCAATCATCCTTCGCATGCAAACTGCTGAGGAAGTAGTAGCACACTGTAGAAACCTGAAATCTACAGCACACCACATAAACCTTCTAGAAAGAGAATGGCCCCTCTACCTAATAAATAAAAAGAAAAGAAGAATATTTTTTAGGTTAAAAAAAACACTTTGGCGTTACCTAAAATTATTCTGCGGCACATTCCCTGACTCGGCATAACTTACGAACGAGTCATTCGCCCCGTTCCCAGACTCGCCATACGCCACGAAAGTCGACCCCATCACATTCGAGTCCTTACCGTAACTCGTAAACGAACTCGGCACCCCGTTACCCCTCTTCCCATAACTCTTGAAGCCCTGATCACCCGCATTGGCGTTATCAGAGTAACTAGCAAACCTCTGCTCTCGACCCGTCGAGTCCGAGCTATAAACATTGAACCTGAGCTCCGGCACATTTGCATCGCCGGCATAATTCACGAACTCGCTCGACTTACCCACCGAACCGGATCCATAGCCAGAGAAAGACCCATCGAACACATTAGTGTCAGGGGAGTAGTGGGCAAAAGAATCGCCGTGCCCGGTGGCGTCACGACTGTATCGGACAAATGTCTGAGCAACGACATTTTCCGAGTCGGAGTAGTTCTTGAAGGAGCCGCCAGTGCCACCGACGGCGCCTGTGCCGTAGTCTGAGAAGTTGCGCTCCGTGTATTTTTTGAAATCGAAGTTGTCGGTACGTCCGTGTGATGCTAGGGACTGGCGGGGGAAGCAGAAGAGGTGGGCGGTTTGGCAGAAGGATGAGAGGTGGGAGGAGAGAGAGTTTTTGTCGATGAAATTGGAGAAGATTGCAGTGTGGAGGTGGTCTAAGGGGGAGGATTTGTCGAGCAAAAAATGGGGGATTGGGGAATTGGGGAGGAGGCTCTGCCAGTATCTTTTGACGGAAGCTCTTGGAGAAAGCGGGTTCGGAGAAATGGAGGTGGTGCTAAGAGCTGGTACCTGCAAGAGAAGTGAAGAGAGAGATAGAGATGTTAGAGAGAGAGAGACAGAGATCATGCAAAAAATGACAGGTGAGGGAGAATTGTGCTAGAGAGAATTATGGTCTGTGGGATTTTGAGTTGTGATGAGAGAGAGAGAGAGATGGGGTCGTGAATGGAATGTGGCGGGTGTGTGAGATTGTGTCTGTGAATTGAGAGAGAGAGAGATTACCAGAGAGGAGGAGAGGATGAGGAGGAAGAAGACGATGGGTGGAGAAGATGACTGCTTCCGCTTCTGTTTCTCCATTACGAATGGCCTGCTTTTCAGAGAGAGAGAGAGAGAGAGAGAGAGTTGATTTCTCACTGAAAATTTATAAAGTTTGTAGTTCACTGGGAGAATGGAAGCATCACCAAATAAATAGAGAGAGAGAGGGCGGGGGTTCAAGGAAAAAATGTGCGTAAAAAAGGTACAAAGTGAAGTAAGAGAGGGTGAAATAAACCCCATTAACGGGAGAGGTACAGGGATGAGTAGAGGCAAGAAAAGCGTTTGCTTTATTTTGTGAGAGAGAGAAAGAAGTGAGAGAGAGATCGTCAAAAATAGATAATACTGAGAGAACGTTTGTTAACAGTAACCCCACCACCACAATGGGTTGGCCAAGGCCATTTTTTGGTGGCTGCGATCCATATCTCCAATTCACTCTCCTCTCTCTCTCTCCTCTATTTCGAACTTCTCCACTCTCTCTCTAGAATCCTGTTTCCACTTTCGAAATTCTCCTCTCTCTACAACCTTATTTCCAACTTCTCCACTCTCTCTCTCTCTCTAAAATCCTGTTTCCACTTTGGAGATTTCCTCTCTCTCTACAATCCTGTTTCCACTTTGGAAATTATCCTCCCTCTCTCTCTCTACAACCTTATTTGGAACTTCACTCTCTCTCTCTCTTCTAAGTGCATGTCTCCAAAGTCCAAAGTACCCCTAATATCTCTCAAGAATATAAAAAATGCTAATTTTTTATATGGGCTTGTACAATTTCTTTTGAGTACAAGGAGATCGCAATTAATCCTGATCTTAAGATGACCAATTGGATGGCTTGGGCTGAAGTTCAAGAAATTTTTCGTTGGGCTTCGAGTTCAGTCCCAAATACATCTATAACCATTTGATTTGAAGTTTAATGAAAAAAAATTAGCTCACCTCCTTGTACTAAAAAGAAGTGGTTCCCTTATATATATATATATATATATATTTTTTATATTTCGAAACTGGCTACAAAAAGTGGCATAATTTCCTGTGACCTCCTTGAACTAAAAAGAAGTGAAAAAGTAGTGGTCTCTTATTTTTTCTATATATATATATATATATATATATTGAAATTGGCTAAAAAAAGTGGATAATTCTGAACCACGACGACCTTTGAGCTTAAGAACACCATTGCAATTCAAAAAAGAGATTGTGGTGTTCAAGTCATTGGGGTTAGATTTATGGTGGGCATTCATTGAAAACAATCCTTTAATAATTTAAATATCAATTTCCGACATTTGTTATAATAATAATTGTTTCAAGAAATGTGGAACAAAGTTTCTGAAAAGAGTGCCGTATAATTGCTGAATTCCTGACCTGTGACCACGCTTTGTTCCTTCACGCCATATATGAATGAATGTTGTTGTTCCCGCTCGGCATGCCCTTCCCTTGGTTCACACTTTTTCTTTTTCGCCTTCTTCAAAATTTATGCATTCCTCACTTTTTTTTGTGTCTTGCATTCACCCAAAAGAGAGGAGAAAAAGAGAGAGAGAGAGTTTTAGAATGAGAAAGAGACTTCACGAAAGAGGTTTAGGGAGAGAGAGGGAAATTAAATTTTTTTTTTTTTTGAGTAATTAAGTGGGTAGTATAGGCCCCTAACCGTTATTTAAATGGTTAAATTTTCAAAGTTGTTTGTGGGATTAGAGAGCATGACATGCAAGTAAGGTACAGGGCTTGCTAGCACTATGACCTAGTAATATACATAGTTTTGGAGAACGGAAGCTTTACAATGAAAGAGGGAGAAACTTCACCAAAGGGTAGTTTTAGGGAGAGGATGAGAAACATAGTTTTAGAATCAACGTCGAGATTGTTGGGCTTCTATGCATGTACTTTTGTGTCTTCTCTTGTCTTTTTAAAGTCTTCTATTTGAACCAAATCACACATTCTAACCGTTGTTTTAGGTTTACATTGCACATGCCTAAGCCACCTAAGTTTACTTTCTCTCATCACACATGGGCAAACCACCTAAATTTACTTTCCCTCATCTTATCACTTATTAAAACCATAGCTAAATTCCTTCGCATGCATTCGTTCCAAATTATATCATTTTATTATATTGCCACTCATCCATATCAACATCATCATCTAAATTGCACTCATCTATGGGTATACTGGTATATTGTTTTTAGACCGCCTAAGGTTATGCCACATAAAACATGGTTGGTCTTACAATTATTCTGTAGAACTTCCCCTTCACTTTCATTAGTATGCGACGATCACATAAAATATCGGATGCACATCTGCGCTTCACCCACCTAGCTCTAATTCTATACACGACATCTTCCTCAATTTCTCCATTTTCTAAGATTATCGACCCAAGACATTAAAAATAATATCTTGTAGGTACTTCTTAGCCATCAATCTTATCTACTTCCTCATTTCTACTTCCATCAGTATTAAACTTGCATACGGTATATTCTATCTCAGTTCATGTTTCTTGGGTTTGAGTAGTTAGCATGTGAAATGGGCAACAGTAATCTCATGTTCTCTCCTACTACTGAACTACCAAAATTAGAGATTGTCATAAGTAGAGGAGAGAGAGAGAGAGAGAGAGAGAGAGAGAGAGAGATTGATTATGTTTAAGATGAATATTTCCTTAACAATGAAAAAAAGCAAGGACATGAACTGAAAATAAGGAAGCAAGGACATCATGAAAAATTCAGGTGGGAGTTTCGACATTTTGAAGAAGCATGTATATTTGTTGGTGGTGGGGCTCTAGAAAACCCGCTTCTCTACTTTTCTTTTTTATTAATAAACTTCAAAGCGCGTGCACGGGGCCACATTCATGTAGCAATTGCAATCGTGAGTTAATTTTGTTTGTTTTAGAGTAAGATATCTCTAATTTTGTTTGTTAGGGGTCGGGAAATAAAGTTTGGAAGATACTAATCTCGTGGTGCTCTAGGACTTAGTGCACCTAAACTCCTCTCTCTCTCTAAAACTTCACTCTCTCTCTCTCTAAAGATAAGCGCGTAAGAGAGAAGGATGGGCCCATAACTCCCCTCTTTCATCATTCCATTCATTTTTGTTGTTGTGGGCATATCAAGGACAAGCCCCATTTGTGGCAGCTTCTACTCCTATACTCTCCTCTTTATTTCATCCATATCTCTCTCTCTCTCTCTTTCTCCTCTTGGCCTCGTAAGCTAAAGGATTGATATTAGAAAGGTTCACTGAGGTGGTGTGGATGCGGCACATGCCTCTATTGTCGCATGACTTAATGTTGATTCTCACTCTGATGGTTCAAAATAACTGATGTACACGTGCTTGAATAAAAAGATACGAGGACTTATGATCTCATTGAAGGTATGACCCTTAATAGAGCATAATTAAAGACCAAGATTTTTATAGCCAACTTTAATTAATTGAAAAAATACTTTTGACGGTGATGATGATAATGGTGACTTGATATTCAAAAAATAGGAATCGTGTGCCAACTCGAGCCCCCACTAATCGAAGTCGGCTTGCCAATTCAAGGGTTGGCTTGATGATTATAAATTGGCCAATGAGAACCAGGACAAGGATTCTCGGAGTCTCATGCCTCACCTATTTAAGTGAGTTATCGCTGTAAAATCTATTTTAAAGATGGATTTTGAATATTGAAAATCTAAACCATGATAACTATGAATCCTTAAAAAAATAAAATAAAATAAAATAATTTTTACAACTTTAATTTTGAATCTGGGTGGGGTCGCCATCGGTTGACATCCATCTACAAAATAGATATTGAGTGCACCAGGGAATGCTATTGTAGAAATGCGTTCCTCGACACCAATTACCTTCCATTGAAAAGGTGAAAAAGAACGAAAAAAAACAGAAGAAAGAGTCACTTGAGACTCGGGTGAGGAATCCACAACAACCTACCTTCTTCAAGTGAATCAAATCACAACAATGAACCTGTCTCTAGAAAACCCTAGAATCAAATCATAACAATGAACCTGTCTTTAGAAAACCCTAGAGTTTCTCTATTCAGAGACTACCTATAGTTGGGGTCCACTTTGTCTAACCAGACTTGCCCGATTCCAAGTCGGCTCGCCGATTTTTCAACCACTAGTATGACCCCACTTGCCAAAGCTCCCCACTTGCCAAAGCTCCTTTCTTTCGATTAAATCAAAAGATATAGATAAAATATAAAATACAAGACCTCTAAAGGCCTATTTAATGAGGTTTCCAAAATAGCATAGATATAGGCACCAGTGTAATGTCTCAGTCCTTGGACAACCCTTGTGTAGGGTAGGAGAGGGAAATATGAGAAGGAATATATTCTAGGGCCACTCAAAATTGTTAAATCCTTGGGGTTTGTGGCAAAGGGATGTCTCTTCTTTGAGGATTTCTTGAGATATATGTAGAAAATAGGTTCTTGTCTTAACGAACCTGATTTTTTGTGGTAGCAAAGTACATCTCTCTCACATTGGCACATGCCTAGCATACAAACATGAGCATGCACCTGACCCACATTCACTCCCTGACTTGGCTTTGCATGTGGTATTAGAAATTTGGGACCAGAGTTGGTTATAAGTCACTAGGAGCTGGGCACACAGGATATTGGGTACTCATATTCTCTCTCTCTCTCTCTCTCTGCACCTACATACACACACATACATGTGCCTACGCACACATAACACATGCACGTGTCTGTACTACATTCGAATTCAAACATGGGTTTGTTCGAGAGAGAGGAACTCAAACATGCCTTCGTCGGAGAGAGGAACACTCATCTCTCTCTCGTGTGCGCACACACACATAACACGCGCATGTGTCCACACCACATTTGAATTCAAACAAGGGTTTCTTCAAGAGAGTTGAAGAACCAGATAAAGAACTAAACATGAGAGAGAGAAAGAGAGGAACACAATCATTCTGGGAGTAGCCCATGTTGAATAGGAGCGGGTAATTATAACCAATGAAGGTATTTTACCCCGTGTTTCAAAACCTGGCTATACCCAATCTGGATCACGGATGTAGACTTGGTATCGACTGGGACTGAAACAGTTCGAAAAAAGGTATCGGTCTCCCTAAAACCCCATTTCATTCTCTTCTATTTATTTAAGCCTATCTAATGTTTCTTAAGTTACTTTTAAATCCTCACCCCCACAAACCGTTATTTTAATTTTAATTTTTGACATTTTTTCTGGATTGCTGACTTGAACAACCTGCGTTGCCGATCCAGCAATCCAAGATGGATGCGGGTGGACAACCCATTACACTGATCTAAGTTTTGAAACACTAGTTTCACCTTTAAGGTCACCATGCCTCCGATCTGTGCTGATTCAAGCTTCTTGTTGTATCAGGACAGAGCAACAGATGCCTTTGCCACTACAAGAAAACATAAAAACTGCCCTGGTTAGAAACCACCAATAACGACTAGAGGGGAAACACACCATGCACAAGTGAGGTAAGCCAAAAGAAATTATACTCCATCAGGATTATACTATCAATTTAATCCCTCGGGAAAAAACCCCAGTAATAATTAATTTTAGGACCCGAGGAATCTAACCTTTTCAACCCTAAACCTTAATGAAAATAAATTCCAAGTTGTACCCTCTATGCACTTAAAAAAAAACCTCCAAAATAGGTCTTCTAACTGACGGAGTAGAAATAAATTATGATCCCAAGGGAACATAATATACGTGCTCTAAGGTTTATTATAGTACTTATTATGGAAAAAATACAATAAGATTAGTTATCTTTGGAACATTGGATGAAAAGTTGATTTTTTAGGGATGTGCCATATTGACCAGGCTCAAAGTTCTTTCTTCTTTTTTTAATTTTATGACATACTCAAGCTATAGAATTCTACATCTTCAAATTCATTTCATAGTATGCAGTCCCGTTAAATTCATTTCATAGTATGCAGTCCCATTAATTATTTAGCAGAAAATCAAAGTTGAATATCCCTTCTAATAAATTCTGACACATAATTCAATTGGATTTTGGAATTGGACAAAATATGTTTGAACTTTTGATAAGGAAAAATAATACGATCCATATGATTGTAATGTAAACCATGACCCCTATGCTTGATACCAATCAATTTGGTTGGATGGTCAAAAGAAAGTAGGGCCAGACAGTGGGATGAGATGAGCATTAATCATGAGAATATGGAACATATTATAGGGTCATTTCTATGATATATTCCATATTATTTTAGCTACTTTTATTTATATTTTACTAAAGCTGGTCCGATAATTGGTTGGACCAATTTTGAGCCCCCATTGGGACCAATAATTATGAGAATATTGATCATATTATGGGGTCATTTCTATGAAATATTTCATATTTATTTAGCTACTTTTATTTATATTTTATTAAAGCTGGTCCGATATTATTTGGACCAATTTTTGAGCCCCCATGGTTTTTATGCTATAGGAAAATCTTTTTTATAAGGTATGAAAGGGGCTAAGGTCGTGGTGGTGGCATCCCCACACTCAATTACCACATCGTGGTATTCATTCTTGCTGCTAACACCCCTAATTAACCCTTTCAAAATTTAACTCCCCAATCTATTGAAAAAAAAGGTAGGGCCCAACCTTCCTCACTAAATTAGCCAAAAAAAAAAAAAGCTTTTATAAGATGTCAACCTTATACAATAGAAGTAAAGTACACCTCAAAAGCCCATTGAAAAAGGTTGTTTTATCATTAGAGAACTCCCGAATCGATCATTTCGACCTCGATATATATGTTATGAAAATAAAATAAAATCATGTCCTTCAATTTGTCTATCTTATAACATATTATCTAGACCGTCCATTTTCAATCTAGACCGTCCATTTTCAAGATTTTTGAGTGCTCATATATCTTCTAAATTTGTACCATTTTTGGAACTTTCAATTTCATTATAGCTGTGAAAAATAGACTTTTAGGCCATAATAAGAGTTTTGGCAACGGAAATATATCTTTCAATGAGATTGTAAGATACACTTTACCATGATTGTTTAAGGTTGACACCTTATACAAACCTCACCCAAGGCTAAATAGTGCATCTCTTCTAAATAGTGCATCTCTTATGGATATTATGATAAATTTCACATAAATAAGGTTAAATAACCCATTTACACTCAATTGGGAAAAATGATGGTTTCCTGATGGTTTGTCATGACGACTCTCCCTTATTATTGTCAACCAACAAAATAAAATAACAGGTTTATCCCCAAAACTCCAAAAAATAAGGTTTTCACAATGAGTAGGTTTCAGTTGTGTCAGAAGATGCACTTGTTATGCTGAATCCACCATCCCAAAATTCATCATGGAGATAAATTTTGAATCCAAATTTTGCTTTAACCACCATGATCATGAATCCAATAATAAAAAAAAGTGAACTTCGAGCAGTAAATGTAGCCTTTGTCATGCTTTTTCCTTTTTAATCATTCATTTTAATTCTTTAAATATAATTAGATCTACACGTTTGGAGTTCCAAATTCATGCAACTTAGAAAGAAATGAATTTACAATGATTTGGGATGTCTTTTGGGTCCTATAACCTTCGAAAACCAGAGGAACATACGAGTAAGCCACCTCACCAACTACTTTTCCTTTCAGGAATGAAGTACATCCAGTATCGAAATGTCTTCTCAGGATAGAAGACGTCAACAAAGTAGAGAAAAATATAGAAGTACTTGGATATCTTGTCAAAACCAAATACGATCCAATACTAGCTACTAATCATAGCTTCCATGCTGATCAATGGACGGCAGAGATCAACCGCTGTAAATCTTCAAAACTCACGATTATCCTATTGGAGAATGGCCATTCATCCCCACCATTCATTGTAAGCACCGCGAAGTGCCGGTCCAAGTACCCCACACTATATAAAAAATGTCTACTAAGAACGGCAATATAAAAAGAGGAAAGGTGGACCGCATCATGAAAACAAGTTGATCTTTATCCAGTAGTTTAAATTGTGTCGGCTTAATGTGGCAATGGATTTCAGTTTTCTAATGAAATGGTGCTCAACAGTTGTAATACACCTAGCATAAGACGTCATTTTTATCACATTAGCATGGCTGCTTATGAGTAGAAAATCCAGGGCTTTGACCCTGAAATTATTTTCTGATAACGACAGTGGTAGGTGGTATGTGTAGAGAAATGCTCGTTTCAAAATTAGAGAGACAGAGAGAGAGAGACAGGATCAAAACTCTTTCTGGACCCAAATGAATCCAAAACCTACCCTAACTAAATGCTTACGTTTGTAAAGCAGTAAAGTTGTTAAGGAAATGTATTCTATGCTATCATTTGTGTTTCCGACGATTAACACCACCAACCGTCAGATTTTAGCAAGAGGGTTTTATACCTCCACTCAAAGTCCGACCCAAGGTTCGATGGCGATATGAAAGGAGTGAGACACCCTGATCGTCCGGTGATGACATCACCTTATTGGGGGTGTTAGGGAAGTGCAGGAAACACAAAGCATAGCATAGCACACAAGCATTTGGAAATATTTTAACCAAAACTCTTTATTTGGGGTAAAAATCCAAATTGATCCATTTTCTATTTACTGAGTCGAAGTTTTGAAAACACAGAGCTGCTGAATGCCTAAGATACGGCTCAAAATTTTGAGTTACCAAACCAGAACCTTCAACCAATATTGCAGTTGAAATCTATTCTTATAGTAAATAATATGAAACTAAGCAAGCTGCCATATTTTGACAAATCATAGTCCCAGTTATAAAATGGTGAAGGAAAAGCAAAACAATAAACTGCTTTAGGAAACAATAGACAGAGAGAATGATATTCCTTCAAGCTTGATTCGAATAGATAAAAAACACAAGTTTACTCACAAAATAAAGAAAAAGAATTCCCATGAAAACTCACGAAGTAATTAAACCACGGCCATTTTATTCATGAAACCCTCTCTGATGGATTTTTCATTTCTAGTCCTCTCCTACCAAACACTTAAATCAATTAAATCAGAGGAAATTCCTCTCTAGTGGGTGTTCATTAATTTACCAAAAGACTCACACGATGAAGAGATTCCATATGAAATCAAATTCGCCTACAATATGTGCTCATCCATAAAAAAAAATGTCATTCTCGTTCAATCCGAAGCCTCACAAAGTGCATATCAATATGCTAAAATAAATAAATCAAGAAAAAAGGAGATAATTACTGCAGTTACCTGGAGAAAGAGTAAACACCATATCTACTGCTATCTCATCAAGCTCCACTGGCCATGTTACACTGGCGTGGCAAACCCTACATCACCAAATCAAGGTCTCTTATTGAAAAAAAATACAATGTACAGTCTCCTGATACCAACAGAACTGATAATTGCTTAGACAATTTGATGTACTCTGTCTCTCTCTCTCTCTCGCACACACACACACACATCACCCGTCTTCATCAGCCCTAGTGAAACATGGATTCCTATCAATAATTGTACCACCATAAAATACAAGTTACATAGATTTAAATGGTTCTCTTAATATACATAGTACATGAAGCTTGCACCACATATTGACACTAAGGAGCACTGACTCAATTTATGTGCATGGGTACCAAGTACAGATCCTGGTGACAGAATAAATGCACTGCACAAAAACATTCAACTTTTCATTGTGTTAGTTCTTAGTTTTAACACTGAAATAAATGTCATTGTTCATCATAGCAACCATAAAAGTGATGATATCCATCCCGTTTACTTGCACATTTTACTTACCCCCCCAAAAAAAAAAAAGTGATGAAAAATATTAAGGCTCTCTTGGTCAGCACCATGCATTAAGAATCCAAAGCGGTGCATATTCTATTGCAGAAAGTACAATAGAGGTGGAATGAAGGCAATGGCTCTTTCCATCTCTATTGTATTACAAGGCAGTGGGGCGGCATTTTGATGAGCTTCTCCGTTGTATTACGTCTTTCATGTTGGCAAACACTTGCATACACCATGCTGATGAATGCTATATAAACCTAATCCATATTGCATTATAGTACAAAAGTAGGGGTGTCCCAAACCCAGCCAAAATTGTACATGTCTGTCTATCAGCCTTATCTATCCATCGATCTATCCACACAAACGTATACACACACCCCCATCCACAACAGTTACCAAGGGAATGTTTGTGAATAATATGTGGAGTGATTAATTGTCAGAGATGTGGTGCAGCCCAAAATTACTGCTCTCGAGTGTCTAGATAAGAGAGACAAACAAGAACTGCAGAAGAGAAAAATACTCATTGAATTATAGTTACCCGAATCGCCTATGAGGGTAGCGATTCCATTTCGGAATCTCGATTGGGCGTTTTCCCGGGAGAAAGTCGATTCTAAAAGAAAGGAATTACGTTTCTATTTTTTGTGGAATGCGATTCCACCTATTTTTTGTGGAATGCGATTCCATATCGGGGACTTTATGATTCTTAACTACACAAGAATGCGATTCTGCATGTGAGAAACGTTGATTTCAATTTTTTTGGAATTGCGAATCCATGTTGTTTGGAATCAAGTTTCTATATCGCAGACATCGTGATTCCTTCTATACAACAATGCGATTCTACTTATGCTAAACGTTGATTCGAGGTATTAACGAATTGCGAATCTATGTTGTCAGGAAGCAATGTGAGCATAGGAAGAGCAGAAACCCTTCGATGTGTGCTCAATCATGAGTGAGCGCAACATGTATAAGAGCGTGAGGGAATTTGAAGTTGTTGCACACGGCAATAAAATCAAAATTTAAAATATGAGTAATATTTGAGCATAGGGAGAGCAGAAACCCTTCGATGGTGCTCAATCATGAGTGAGCGCGCCATGTATGAGAGTGTGAGAGAATTTGAAGTTGTTAAACACAGCAATAAAATCAAAATTTAAAATATAAGTAATATATTAAACTTTTTATTTTCTTATTTACTAATTTCCATCCTGCATTCCATGTTACTTTTTAATAACTCTTACCAAGAATAAATAATACTAAAAGAATATGTTACTTCAAATTTAATAATGTTTGGTAAATGGTGTGGGTACTAAACTACTAATGTAATAATGTTTAATATATGATCGACACCGTCATTTCTTCAAGTTGAATAAGAAGATAAAAATGCTTTTTTTTTAAGTAAAATAAAAAGATAATAAGGATATGAGCGAAGTGCCCTGTGTGGTGTTTTAGGTTAAATTAATCACTAAATATCAGAGACATTGACTAAAAATTGAATAACTCAATTCAAAAGTCAAAAGACTCAAAACTACATTTAACAAAAAATAATTACTATGTCATGTACTTATTTTATAATTCAAGGAAAGGAGATAAAGGGAGCTTGCCCTTATTCTCACTCCTTGTATGCCGTAGACTAGCTCCAAACCTTGTAGGCATAATAGGGTTATCGGTAGACTGAATCCATTGTATGGGATTGTCCACAAAGATATCATAAAGATTGACATTAGTGCTTGGAGTCTTGGACTGAGTATTTACATACCAAAATTCAATCTTGTAGTAATGGGTAAATTTATATATTTTCTTAATACTTCTCTCATATACCGGAAGGAATTGGTTCGCAATTCTAGTAAAGGGAGAATCACGATTCCGGAATGGTGAGAATGTTGATTCCAAGTTTTTTGGGACAACGATTCTAAATTTTAGGAATCACGATTCCTTATTTTTAGAAATCACGATTCCATAGTTTTAGGAATCACGATTCCAACAACCACCGAAACAAGTGGGGTCATGGGTGATTCCATATAGGTATGAAACGCAATTCTAACATGAAGGGACATCGATTCTTGCAAATAGGAAACACGATTCCTAATGTTTTTAATCGCGATTCCAAAATAGTGAGTCATTATTCTCATATCCGAATCGTACGGACAACGATTCCTAGATTCTGAAACTTTTGATACACGCGATTCTGATTCCAAAAATGATTCTGAATCACAGACGTTTTCAACAACTATATATTGAATCTATCCTTTATGTCTTTTATTTATTTCTTGTGCCATGAGTCATTTTATTTACTTAGGAGCATAAGTAGTAATTTCCAAAGTCTTTTATGTCTTTTTATTCACTTAGAATCTCTTATAATAAATGCCCATGATTAGATTGGTTGGATGGGCAGGATTAATTCTTGTTTAGGGTTTTCTTATATAAAGGATGTACTCAATCATCAACAAACATCTTGTTATGGACTTTATTTGAAATCCTAGAGCAACCAGTGCTCCTTTAGGTTTTGCATCTCTCTCTAATTTTGAATCTTTCCTGTCTTCTTCTTTACTAAACGCTAGCTCCATGCTATTAGGTCTGCGCCATGTTGGTATCAAAGCCCAACGATCTATATAGAAGGTACTGTAGATGGTATTGTGGTGCGGATGGTACTGTAGCATTGCTTTTCTATACGTACTGTACTTTAGTGTCAATTTTTGTACCCTAGATCAACAACTATGTCTCTACGCAGAGCAAGAGGAGGAAAAGTAGAAATCGTAAAAGACCGTGATGCTAGTATGCGAAAAGGAATGGCAGATTTGAGGAGATTGGTTGAAACCCTAACTCTGCATTTAGCGTAGATGGAGCCCCGTGTCACGAGGATGAGATCGAGGCAGATGCGTCGGTGACCAAGTTGGTGTCAGATGGGTCAAATTGCACGAAATTGATGATGATTTGAGTTGCGAAACTCTATCTGAGGCCAACTATGGAGAAACTTTGTTCTCACCCAATGGTTCTTAAGATTGGCATGTTGTGCATTGGGACTCACCACCAGTATTTGACAAGTACCTGGATGAAGATTTGGGTCTTGTGAAAGAAGTCGGTGATCCAATCCATAAAGAGGATCGAGAAGAAGATTGTACCACTGGAGAGGATTTTGTGGATACTCCTATTCTTAATGAAGAACAGGGTGGATGTCAAGGAGCTGTTTCCAAAATATTGGAGGTAACTAGTTTCTTAGTCCCCAGGAAAAGTAGCCAGGAGAATGGTGTTGACGAAGGTAATGATGATGAAGTTGTTCTTCTTCGAGTTTTACCTGAATTTAGGGTGTCACATGATGTTCACACCAAATAATCCAATGTATTTTCCCCTGAACTCTTAGTTAGTGACTTTAACATAAGAGGTGCTCACCAAAGGGCTGCTGAAATCATTCTCTTCGATAGAATTCAGGCTGAGTCATTAGTCTGCTTTGATGGAATAACCAAATCTCTTCTTTGTCATCTTCCCCCAAAACCTAAATTTACGAAGCCTAATTTTTGCATCTCGACCTCACCAAATCCAGTAACAATGACCCTTAGAGTTGAAAGTTTTCTTGTATACTAAGAGAAAAGTTTTCCTTAGATATGGTGATGATTGATAGTGTTGCGCATTTGTATCGCCGCAGTGTTAGTTTTCATTGTGCATAAAACGTGATGGATGAGATGTTCATGAGAGGAACCATAACCAGGAAAACATTAATCGCTAGTTATTTTAAATTGTATAACATTATGGTTGAGTTACAATGGTTCTAACTTCTCAGAGATGAAAAACTCTGGGTTTTGGTCTTCTCATTTTGCCCTTGCTAGTATTGCTATATCAAAGTGGTGTAGTGGACGATTTGAGAGTCGGGAGCTGCTAAGCATACCCATGCTAAAGCTCTAAAACATGAGTTTGGTTGTAATCCTTGCACTGGCATTGCATTCTCATCAGTTCATTGCAAGATTGGCAATCTCCTTTGGAATATCCAATGCTCAATCTTACAAGTCATAGAGGTGAGATTTCCTACAAACTTATTTTGAATGGATATCTCTGAGGATGTATTACTAGGAGTAACTAAAGACTCTTCCCTCCTATGCTTGTTCATAGTTTTAGACCAAGTTGTTATGAATATCATAAGTTGAGCCAGGGTAACATTAGACCGTGTCAAGTGGTGCAAAAAATTAATGACAATGCCTACAAATAGAAGCTTCTCAACTATATTCACACTGTCGATGTTTTTAATGACAAGCACCTCATTGTTTATCGTGGTGATACCTTTGATGACGAACCACCGAAGGGCAAATTTTTTTGAGGGGGGGTTGATACTACCACGAAGTGATGGGGGGGGGGGGCGCAATATGTTCATTTTTTTTCCTTTCATTTCTCTCACTTTCTTGTCTTCAAAAACCTTATGGATCTTTGGCCTTGTATTACAGGTTTCGGCATACGAGTGCATTGCTCTATTTCCCTCAGAATGTCCTGCACGAAATTCTAGTTCCTTCAGAATTGCGTCTCTACCCATGACCCTATTGATCGTTGTCCTGTCTTTTCTTAT